CCAGCGCCAACAGCGCCGGCAACTAAAATCAGTCTCTCGTCACCCCCGCGGCATCAGCCAACTCGCACTACAACGGGTGGTTTGATAAGCGCCGTCAGGGGCCATTTGTCAAAATATTGTCAACGATACCTTCCATTCCAGCAACCACTTCAGCATCCCGGTGTTGCCAGCATCAAGGAGGGTGAGTAAAATGATCTTCCATGCTACTGCCGAGACTTCAGCTGTCTTCTGGATTCATACTGACAATATTGTTCGTCATAGAAGGACCTTGACCGTGCCGCCGCCGCCTCTATCTTCGCCGAGGACCCCAGACTCGTGTCCTCATCCAGGACCGTCCTTTTTCTTCTTGCCCTCCTAAAATTCCCAAACTTCCAACCTAAGGGTATGTCAACTCGGCGACATCCGTCAGCTCCCACTACAACGAGTGGTTTAATAGCAACGGCCAGGGACCATTGCCAGAGAAAGTGTGCCGGCAGCCTGCCTCATACAACTCATTCTATCGCGGCCAGTCGAAACGTCACCAGAACAAGCAATTCGACCTCCTCCTCCTCCTTCTTTCCCTCCAAAATTTCCCAAACTTCCAGCAGACGCTCAGGCCAAGTCCCGAGTCTCCCTGGAGCGTTATTTCCATTACTACAACCGCTACCACAATTACGAACAGTCAGACGGGGCGAGTCGGCTTATAACTTTATCCTCCTCCTCCTCCTTCTTCTTCTTCTTCTTCTTCTTCTTCCCCCTCCAAAATTTCCCAAACTTCCAGGAGTGACCACGCACTGCGTCCCACCTTCAAGCGGATCAACGTTATCCACACATTTTCTTCCGTCTCTCGCTCTCTCCTTCATCTCACGCCATCTTCTCGCCATCTACAACCTCCTCACACACTCACCAACAACACAACCACATTTCTCCCAGTTGAAACTCCTCCAAGTCCCCAGATATGGCGAACCGACCCAATCCCTTCCACGACATAGAGCAGCAGGAAGTCCAGAAAAGAATCCTTAGCTACCAACAACACGTGGGCTACAACTGCGTGCTCTACCGCGAAGGACTACAGCACCTAAAAGACCATCCAGAGCAACAAAAGAAGCGGCGGGAATGGATACCGCCCATCCCGGGACCCAGGTGGAAAACCCACTTCAAAAACCCCTTGTTCGGCCGCAACCAGATGTACGACATGACTCCCTTTTCGCGCGTGGCGCCACAGGGACAGCCAGAAAAGGTCGGTGACAAGTTCCTTGGATATAAGAAGTCTCCAGAAGTGCAGAACGCAATTGCGCGGGCGAACGATCTTGTGGGGGCCATGTCAGACTTCCGCATTACCAAGGTGATGGGCTGGGGAGGCATGGGTGCCGTGCTGCTTGCTGAGCTGAGTGAAGCGAAGAAAGGACAGTTGCAGAAAGTCGTGATCAAGATGAATTTGTCGAAGAAGAGCGAAGGGAATTTTGTGAAGGAGAGGCAGAACCACATCCGGGTGGCCAGAGCCGCGCACATAATACAGTGTCTCGTGGTGGAGGATGGTCAGCAGCAGCAGCAGCAGGACAAGAACAACATCGCGCCGCCACAACCAGCGGCATCAGGAATGAAAAGGAAGTACGTTGCCGATGCGGCGGATGAGGCTTACCATGCTTCCAAGAAGAAGCGTGTGACAGATGAGCAAGCGCCAGGCGGTGGAAGGCCGATAGTGGCGGCGCCATTTCAGGCGGTGAAACCTCGCGGACCGATGAACAGGCATATCTTCGCGCGAGCAAAAGATTTCCTGGCTCCCAAAGAAGAAACCAAACGGCGCAGCGACGCAAAATACGACCTTAACACGCATCCAGACATGATTGTTATTGAGCCGATGATGCGTGGTGAATTTGATATGTGGGTAAGAAAGATGGCCCACTCGGGAGATAGATTTCATAACAAAGTGCTTTGGTTGATCTTTGAGTGCTGTAAGTTTTTCCCATCCAGTTTGATTGTCTGACGGAAAAAAAAAAAAAAAAAAGAACGGAAGAGAAAGTACCGTTACTGACCATAATCTCAAACAGTGTTCAAGGCCGTTCTCGGTTTCGCCCACCCCCCTCGACACTATCATGAGTATAGGGAAACTGGAGGAAGGACGGGCCCCTTTATGGAAGAGCGACTGCCAGATAGACGTGATGTGGTCAAATTTGATAAGGACGAGTTCCTACACTTTGACTTAGATCTAGTGAATAGTGAGTGGCTCTTTTTTCCGGTACATCAACCCTGTGTAGGTTCCAAACGGCTTTGCTGATGTTTGAACATGAATGTGTAGTCCTTGTCGGAGACTTCAACGTGCCGACTCAAGATTCGCATACGATAACACCAAATATCAAAGTGAGTGACATACCAGAACTTGACCGCATGATGGTCATGCAAAGTAGTAGCCAGTTGCTAACAAGGAATTTCGCCCGAGTTGTAGATAGCTGATCTTGGCCTGGGCTCCAATATGGTCTCTGCAAAAAATGATGTGTAAGTTCAGCATCGAGACCTAGAATGATGCCTCACGATATTCAAGCCCCCTTGCTGACTTCCTCCTCAGCTTCGAACTGTGGTCTACGAGATACATCGGCAAGCCACAATTGGGTTGGCTCGCACCGGTAAGTGTCTTCTCTTTCGAATTACACTCTTTCAGTATCACGCCATGGCAACATTCTGTCGGTAGCTTAACGTTGGCATCATAGTCCGAATGTAGGTGACTAACACATATCTTCCACTTGCCAGGAACAATTCCACCCCGAATGGGACCACATCCACACTTTACCATCGAAAGCCAGCTTCACTCCCGAGATTGCCGGCCAGTACTCCTGGAAAACGAATCTATACTGGATTGGTCAAGTGATGTGGTGTCTCGTAACGCTCCACAAGCCTTCCCGAATGCCGTTCCCGTACTGGATCAGAGACGTCCGACCTCCTGAGGACCGTCGGGGTCGAGCTCAAGCGACAGAAAAAGGTCTTTATGGCGAACTTGGCTTCTGGTCCTGGGGCGGCCTTGTCAATCATTCTCGGTACAGTCAAATCGACGAGGACCTTCGTTCCGCCATTGTCCTGTGCATGGCCGACAAGCCAGCCCATCGGCCTGAAGCGAAACAGTTATGGGATTGGATCGAGAAGAAGACGACACAAGAATGGGATGGTTTGTCGAAAGAAGAGGCCCATCACTGGGCTACAAAATTCTGGGAACAACCAGACGTCCCAGGGCCAGCAAAGCCGACGCCCATCTTTGAAGTGCCAGGAGAAGAACCTGATAAGGAGGAGAGGGCTCCTAGAAAGAATTCCGCAAGACTTCCTTGGGAAGCCGGCAAGATACCCGAGTTGGCCGGTGTGTCGCCCCTAAAACAGCATCAGCTTGGAGGTGTCGGCTCTTACGACTTCGCATTCCGAATTCCCGGACAGTGGCCTAAGCTCAGTAAGATGCTATCCGCCCAGCAAGCCCAGGAACAGCTGAAACCGGCTTTTAAGGATAGAGTTCCGAAGGCTCTCAACCTTCAACCACCCACACCAAAGCCCCAGAATCCTGCTGCTCCTCAACAGGCCGTGGATACCCCAGGAGAGGGTCCTTTCGGGCGTCCACGCAGGAGGTCCAGTGGTGTTAGAAAGGAAGATATACCCAAGAAACCCGCGGGACCCCCGTCGGGACAGGCAAGGAGGCTCTTGGACGCCATCAAAGCCAACTTGAAGCTACCTCCACAACAGAAGATTGTTCCCGATCCCCAGAAAAATCCCGCCCAAGAACCAACGGCACAACCAGCAGCTCCAGTGGCTCCAGCGGTCGCAATCCCGGCAGCGGCAGCGGGAGCACAACCGAGGAAACCAAGTCCAAAGGAACGCATCCAAGCAGCATTGGAGGCAACAGCAGGAGAACCTTCACCGGCGCTCATAATCCCGCGTCTACCACCGCCCAAGGCCGGTCCAACCAACGCGGTAGCCGGAAAAGTGCGCGCCTTCGTCGTGCCCCCCGACTCCACGGCAGCAAGCAGCTCAACCGCAGCCGCATCTCCAGCCGCAGCAGCAGCAGCAGTGGCAGGCTCAACGGCACGAGTATCATCCAGCCCACGAGCAGGACGATCAGGACCGGGATCTATACCTCCCGACAACAAACGGCTCGTAACACTTGGGGGCGCCGGCACCCGTCTCCTTACCGGGCCGCGTACAAAATCCGGTGCAATCAAGGGCACGCCACTACAGCCGATTCCTCTTCAGAAGCAAGTGAAGTTCAAGAGTCCTGCTCGATTGCCTGCAAGCTCCGTGGTGCCCTTTTTGGGTCCTCGGGACTTGGCTAGGTACCAAGGAAACAAACAGCAGCTAATCGCCAACTTGCTTAATCGCCCAGGGGTAGCCCAGGGGCAGAGAAGAGTCGGCGGGATGTATCGACCTCCCCAGCAGGCCCAGCAGAACCAGCCGCTACAAGAGAATCGGCCCCCTCAACAGAATTGGGTGAATCCTCAGCAGGTCCAGGTACCGCAGCAGGCTCATGTGTAGTACAACACGCACAAGCAGTCGCAGCAGCGGCAGCAGCAACAACAACAGGCACAACAGGCGCAACAACCCCAGCTCCAACTCCCCAAAGCATTCATGTTTGCCAACAGCCTGCGAGGCGGATCGGCACTCACACCCGCAAAACCACCAGGACCGCCAACACCACTCGTCCGTCGCATAAACCCCGCCAACCGCAAAGTCGGCGGTCAGTACGCCATTGGGGCGCGGCGCCAGCACAATATCCTGAGAGGCCCAGGCCCAAGCCGCCTACAACATGCCTGGACGCCGGCGGACGTAGCCGAAGGGGGCAAAGCTGGAAGGGCAAAAAGCGGATTGTTTGCTGGTTTGAAGGTGCGGCGAGGTACGGCGGTAGCGGGACAGACTAGTTCATCGGAGACTCCAGGTGCTCCAGAGGCCATACAGGAGGGAGCTGGTGGGTCAGGACAGCCAACTGAACAACAAGAGCCTGTGTCGTCGATTGGACAAGGTATTGCTCGGAATGGAAGACTCTTGGTTGCCTATGAACCACGAGAGCCATCACCTCCGCCGTCTCCTCGTGAGATAGAGAGACGCCGGCTCGAGCTTGAACGGTTCCACGCAAGGAACTTGTTGCACGGCGGCAGCCTACTCGGCATAGATCCGGTTGGCAAGGAATCGACTGATGATGACGAAGAGGGACATGCGGATGAGGTAAGAGAGGAGGGCGACAGTCAAGACCCAATGGTGATGTCCGATCAACCCAGTGCTAGCACTATCAGCAGGTTTGGAAATTTCTTTAAATCGTTTGGCGGCTTTGGATCGTGAGAGAGGAATTTATAAGTGTTTGGGATTGCGTTTCGGAGTTTGGGCGGGTGTTGTGGTGTTTTTATGGTGGAAGGAGTTAAAAGAGAAGGATTGGCGTTGCTGCCGTTTTTTCCTGTTATAGGATTTCATTGCCGTTGCTCCGGGCGTTTCTGGTTTGAAGGTTCAGGTTTCTTTTTGCGTTTGTCGTCGCTCTTTTGTTTACCAAGGTGCTTTCAGTAGACCTGCGCTGTAGTTAGTGGATTCAGGACTAGCGTATAAAACACAGTTAGATCCTCCTCCATAACTATCAATCGAAACAACGGTCATGGGAAATGTATGTGCAAGGCAATGATATAATATGTTCAAAGGTAGTATATACAAGAAGGATTAAACGATCAGGGGATCAATGCTAACCAACGACACAAGACATACTTGTTCTCGTGGGGCAATTCCTCGCTGTCAATACAGCAACTCTTTCACAACTTCTCCTTACTTAAGGGGTATAGGTCTTAAGGAGGCTGTTGTAGTAGGTATAGCCAGTGCCAGAAGGAGGCTCAAAGCTGTACATGTAGTCACCCCACCAGGGGCCGGCAGCCCACCAGAGAGCACCCTCCCAGACGTCAGAGTTAGCCTTGAGGTGATCAAGGAGGCCGGTGACAGCAGCCTTGCAGACCGAGTTGGCACCACCGGCGAACTCGCCGAGGACACCCTTCTTTCCGTTGGCGCGGAGCCAGGCGGTGGCACCAACGATACGCTGAACACCAATCTCAGTGGAAACGCAGGTGGTGCTGGTACCGGAGCTGTCAGAGTCAAGATACTGGTGCATCTCGTAGACGATCTTGTTCTGAGGGTCGGTAAGGGCGACCATGTTGGTGTTGGTCACGTTCCAGGACCAGGCGCCAGACCACTGGTTACCCTCGACGAAAATGTACTGGGAAGTGGCACCGGCGGCACGGATACCGTTGATGGCGGCCTGGTTGAGGTTGAGGACAAGGGTCTGGTCCATGGTGTGGTACTCGTTGTTGGTATCGAAGATGACCTTGGAGTTGGAGACGAACTTGGAAGCAACGTTCTGCCAGAAAGTCTTGAAGGCGTTGGTATCAGTGATGATGTTGCCATAGTAGCGGCCATAATTATGGGGATCGAGAACGACATAGGCACCGGAGTTGGTGACAGAGTTGACAACCTGGGTGAGGTTGGTAAGATAGCCGTTGTCGAAAGACGAAGTCAGGGTGTTGGGGACAAGACGCTCCATGGAGAAGCCAACACGGAAGATGTTGTAACCCTGGCTGCGGAGAGTCTAAAATGCGAAGAGGGGTTAGTATAGAGCAACCAAAGAAGAAAATGGTAATAAGAAGCAGAGCAGAAGCGAGGCGGCATACCTGGATGGTGTTGACGTCGGGGAAGATGAACTCAGTGCCCCATCTTCCGGGGAAGATACCATCGCCGAACTCACCACCGGCCTCGTTGACGCCGAACCACTTGAACTTGCCGGAGGCAGTAGCAGTGGTGGTAGTGGAAGGAGGGGCAGTCTTGGTAGAGGTGACGAGGGTGGTGGTGCGGGCAGTGGTGGTGCGGGCAGTGGTGGTGCGGGCAGTGGTGGTGGGAGCAGCGGCACCAGGAAGGCACTGGCTGTACCAGTCGTTCACGTAGGAGCAGGTGTATCCGGAGACGCAGGTGGTAGCGCCGGACCAACCGTTACCGCCGCACTGGCCCCAAGCACCGCTCTGGGCGAGGGCACCAGCGGCGAAGGTGCTGGCAAGAATCGTAGCCTTCATCTTGACTTGGAGGATGGTGATCTGAGGAACTAGAATCCTTGGCGATGGTCCGGGAGAGAAAACCAAGAAGATGGCGGCGGCGATCTCGACATTTATATGCACAACGAAAGGCTTGATGTCGATGCCGAGGAAGCATTGGTGGCTAGGCAAGGATGCGGCTCAAGGCCCGGAGCTTGTTCTCATCCATTGCCGGCTGCTGGCTGTTACATCGCCGCCATGAAGCGAGATGCTAGGGGAGTAGCGAGCTCGTCTCCGATCTATCGAGGTGAGGTTGTGGGGCGCGTGGCATCCAGAGTCCTTGGATCACGTCAGGTTGCGCGTGTAGAGGTTGCGGGCCGGCATCCTGGGGAGTGTCTTGGAGGAGAGACATCCGCCGACGTTGCCTTGAACAATGAAAGGGGGCGGTAGAGCGCAGGCCGGATGCCCATTCTGGACTAAGCGTGAGGTTGTCGGTCCGTGAGGCGCTGGTGGGAAATGGTTTAACAGCTGGAGCTTCCCGATTCTTGGGAATCTCGACGATTCCAGCGGCGCGGGGAAGTCGGGGAGGCCGGGGCCACGGTTCGGTTTCGACCGCGGATGGACAATCTCCGTAGCCATGTTGGGCGAAGCGTGGAAAGGGTTGATCCGCCGATGGTCCTTAAGTTCAAGACCCTTGTAATTCATGCAACGCTGTTTCGGCATAGGACGGTGTTCCTAGTTTCCTCATGGGCGACAATGTCATCAATGTGACCGGCGCCGGATCTGAATCCCGGCACCGTCCTCTGTGTTTTCATCTTTACAGTAGTGTTGCGCGTGAGTCTTTGGTGTTGTTGAACGCCTGCCGAATCACCCGAAGAATTGAGACATTGGGAACGAAAAGGACGAAAACCTGACAGAGAGTCATGATGCGGAATGAAACTGAACGAAGATTCCCTGGTCTGTGAAAACAACACGGAACTGTCAGCGAAGGACTGTCGTTGAAATGACCATGGGACGATGGAAGTGGAAAGGTCCCAAAGTACCTCTTTTGCGTTTACATGTGCAAGCGTATTCCTCAAAAAGACTTTCTGTTAAGGAAGTACTCACATCTAGGCCTGTTTTGGAGGTTAAGCGTACCCCACTAACAATAACACCACGGACCCCACGGAAACGCTGAAACATCCTGCCAAATTGCGGATGCACAGTGGCCCCAGCGTGCCCAGCTCCTGCTCGCTTAAGGTACCAACAGCGCACGAACCACATCAGCCCAAAAAGGGGGAGAAAGAGCGAACACCACACAGAATCACGACGTCACACTTCCATTGGCACTTGCACTTTCTTCAACTGTTCAACTTGACGGAAGTGACGAAGTGACGGTGTGCTCGTGTACGCGCGGCTCGGAGAGTTGCACCTTCCGGAAGAATCATTTCGAACTGTGCGATGGAAATAAGTGTCTAGCGAGGGGGCAAGAACATTGGAACTGTGCGAGTCCAGTCAGGAGCTTCCGACCCGAACCGAACGAGACACGGACTTCGTGGCCGAGAATCCGAACTGAAGGTTCCTTAGCTAGCGACTGACAACATCCTGCAATCTTCACTCTTGAGATTTTAGCCTTCCATGGTCGGAACGAACTCCTCGTACGAGAAATCTTCGTTGTGTTCATTTCGCCTAAGTAAAACTGACGATATCTCCAAGAGAACTAGGCATGCAGGGAGGAACAGCCACACCTCCAACCATCCTATTCCTCGTCCATTTGGTCATGTCCAATTCCGGAAGCAAGCCACCCAACCTGATTGTTCTTTCCCCTTCCCTTCCAAATAACCCCAAAAGCCACTGCAGCACCACATGGTCATCATCATCATCTCCATCCTTTATTGCCACAAACTTATCCCAATAGACTGCAAAAACTCACACCTCACCCCCAACCCTGAGTCCCTAGAAATCTCCTCCATGGCCGTCTTCCCTCCCGTCCCAAACAACAACCTCTGATGCCGCGCACTCGCCGCAGTATCACCGCTCTTCCAAGCCTTCCACTCCGCGCTCCCAGCCCACCGCAACGTATTCGGGTCAAACGTCTTGATAAAACTGACCCAATAGCCTTGGATCACCTGCACCGCCGCCGCGTTCGTCCCGCCCGGACGATAACTCTTTGGCACCTGTCCGCCATAATAGATGTTGCTCGGTCCAAAAATGGCGTTCAGCTCAACGATATGCGGCACGCCCAGGCCGGCCGCGATTTGGTCCTTGTCCTCGACGTTCCACCGATACGCCCATGAGCTGGTTCCCTTTTGGTAGCGGTCGTTGTAATGGTCAAACGCGTCGTTGAGGTATAGACCAGGACACATGTACCTCATCTCGCCGTACACGCTGCCCGCTTGCCCCCGCCAGCACCCCATGCTGGGACAGCTGGAGGCCTGCGGGTTGGGATACAGCTTGTTGAGCGTGTCGAGCTGGCCAGCGGTGATGGCGGGGAAATTGTCCTTGATGAACTGATTGCTGTCTTTTAGGGAGCTGATGCGGCTGGGTGCGAATCCGGCACCGCCGTTGGTGTCGTCGCCGAAGATGACGGGAATGTTGCGGGTGAATTTGCCAGTCTTAAAGGCAGAGTAGGGGTAGTCGGTCACGAAGTCGCCATCGATGACGGGGGACCACATGTAGATGGGTGCCGTGGACGAGCCGGGGTAGGGAATATCGCTGTCCTTATCGGCAATTTCTTTTTGGCTTTTGGACCGCAAGCAGGCCAGGCTGGCCGCGGAGTCGCTGCTGGCGCAGCCGAGGCGGTTCACCAGGTTGTCATACTGGTATTGGGCTTGGTCGACGGTGAGCACCGTGCCGAAGGAAACTGACTCGGCCGCTGCTGCGTGGAAAAGCTTTCTTTTGCCATCCTTGTCGGCCATCATGTGGTAAGCGACACTGGCGGCGCCAGCTGAGGCTCCTCCGAGGACAACATGGTCAGGGTTGCCTCCAAACCGGCTGATGTACTTTTGCACCCATTCCAAAGCCTTGCGTTGGTCTCGGAGACCGTTGTTTGCAACAGCTTGCTTTCTGTTGGCGAGGAACCCGTAGGGCCCTACGCGGTAGTTAAGTGTAACGACAACGATGCTGTTTGAGCTAGCCTTTATGAGGCCGGTTCCGTTGAGGTTGGGGTTTGCATTGTCGTTGAAGCCTCCGCCTTGAATAAAGACGAAGACCGGGAGCTTCGAATCTGTGGTCGCATTTGTTGGCGCGTAGACGTCTAAGAACAGGCAATCCTCCGAGGTCAAGCCCTTACCCGGCCTTCGGACACACCAATTTCCATGCTGTTGCCTCGGCGGTTAGCGGATACTGCCCTATTATAAACTGTCTCTGGAATTCAATCTTCCCAACTCATGGGGTCTCTCACGTTAATTGCTGGTTGAGGCTCTGAATAAACCGGCGGATCCTGCGGAGGAGCGAATCTCAAAGCACCAACAGGCGGTGCCGCGTACCGGAGACCAAGCCATTGACTGACACCGTTGCCCAGTGCTGTTCCGACATACTCAGTGTACGTGAGGCTGACTGCTATTTGAACGCATGTTCCAGTCGAAGCCAGGAAGATGATGATTGTTGATAACACCTGAAAGGCAAAGCTCAAAACTGCTCTCATCGCGCCCTACAAACTATTGTGTTGCCCGGACGTTGGACGGGAGAGACGAAGCCAGATGGGAGATGTGAAAAGCATTTGTCCCCTTTCGGGTCGGCCTGGAAGGGGAGATATGGAGGTTTTTTCCTACCGATTCACCAATTCGGGCAACGTCTTTGTTCCAGTCACTCGACGGGAGTTGGTCACTTGGGCCTTTCGGCATGCTGGTTTGTCGGGTGGTGGGCTACTTAGTTACGGATTCGTGTCTGACACGGGAACGGTGCCTGGCCACTAACTATGCTGCCCACCAACGGTCCGATATATTGGTATCTGTTCAACAATGGAACAATGGGTGTTATTCAGTTCCATAGCTTCATCCGAGCTCGTCCCCTGCCAATTGAGTGTGTTTGGGGCCTCGGGAGGCCTGGTTTTGTGAGACCGAAAACGGGGGAGGTTGCCGTCCATCCATCTGATCATCAACTGTAGTGCGGCGTGATGGTACACAAACTTCGAAACGGGTGCCACAGGAATGGGGGTGAAGGGATATCTCAGCACATGGCCGCACAATGCCATGTGCGTGACCAATCACTCGGGACAGCGCTCGCAGTTGATCTCCGGATTTCCAGATACAAGGGAGGATTTTTGAGGCATTTGTGCTTTGTGTATGTGATATTAGGGATATGTTGTTACCAGGGTTTTGTTTAAGTTGTGCCGCTTTCTTTGAGGACAAAGAGTGACCCTGTCCTTTGTTGCTCAGCCAGAACATCCAACTCGTGTCTGCTTTCTCGCTAGCGTGATGATGTTGGCCCTTTGCACAGATAACAGACGTTACAAACATTTTCCAGGACCGAAGTTACTTGTTGGGTTGGGGACCGCTCAACTCTCGCATGACGAGTGAGAAACCACCGCAGTATGTGGTGAGACTCGAAATGCGGACCGCGTTTTGAGTTGAGATGGTTTGAAGCAGTGGTACAACAACTCCGCTGGCTTTGCGTCATGGACGTGGAATCAATCATTCTGGAAGAACAGACCGAAAGTTTGGGAAAGCCTGGCCAGTCCCCGTTTGTTTGAAGCTTGATCGATAACAAGCTTTGCCAAAGTCCAAAGATTGAAACCCTTCTGTCATCCGGAGGCATTGACTGGAAAACGCAGGATTTGTGAAGGTCTTCTCGGGGGGTTAGTTCTAGCAGAAGGGGACCAAAAGGGACAACGTGACGCCTAATCGGACTAAGAGCGAAGAAGCGGTATGAACCCAATTCGATAACGCTACCGGTGCTACCCAGCAGGGCAGATACATTACTAATGTCCTTGTCACTAATAAAGAACCGGCAGTTCTTGGTGGTGCGCTTGCTCACGACCCTAGCTCATGCACTTACACACAAGTCTCGATCTCATGACGGGCAGGAAAAGAGCGGGCAGGCAAGTGTACCTGCGCTAGCGTACCTTGAAGTGTAGATTCAAGCGGCCTCCGTCCGATCTTCCTTATCGGCGCTTAAAACTAGCCGGCTGTTGTCGGGATGTGACTGCGGCAACCGCCATCTGCCGTTGGGTACGGGGCAGGCCACTCAGCCTCGACTCCCAGTGCCGGGCCCGGAGGTCGGGAGGACGGTCCGTTTGGCTTGGCGGCTGTCGTTGAAATTGCGGCCGGGGTGGGTAGCGCCGCCGGATAACGCCCCCGATGTGATTACGTACAACTTACAAGGCCGCTCCGATATGCTATACGATGTCTCGGCTTGCAGCGGGTCAAAACTGTGATGGATACAATGGATGTGATGGATAAATGGAGGCTATGGAGCTACAATTTAATCCACAGCGGCAAAGAAAAAAAAGAAGTGAAAAAGATAGGCTCGTGATATTGTAGGGATCCTGCAACTTGTGTTTGTGGATGGTGTTGGCTTTGAGAAGGGATGAGGGATTGATAGTGGTGGTGGAACCTGAAGGTGATCGACGCGCGGAATCGGCATAAATGGGCTGCATTCGCGCGAACTTCGGCCGGCGGTGAATATGAGGAGAGGGGGGGGGGTTCAAATTTTGACGGCAAGAAGAGGGCGCAGTGAAGGATGGGTTGTACAACGAATTTTTTGATATCTTGTGGGTTCAGTTTGTGAAGGTCAACAAGTCTTGTTAAGACTTTGTCACGAGCTCCAACAGAATGTGGAACGGTGAGTTGACCGGCTGACGGAGTGGCCGAGTACCCGGGACTCTGGTGGAGAGAAGGTGAGTGGAGATGAACTGCAAGAAAAGTTTAAATGGCAACAACAGTAGTGATCGATAGATTCGGAAAAAATAGCATTTTTTCACTTTCTTACAAATTTCTGAAATTTCTGCTAGCTCAAGGACCGTGCACCCAGTCCGTGCACCAAGCACTTACATCCTCCAAGTCCACCACATATTCACGCCCAACTCCCAACATTACTCTTTATTGCTAAGGTAGTTATATAAGAAGAAAATTTCAAAAAAAGCAAATTTCGAAAGCAAAATAGCCATTATAGATATTACCCTTAGTGAGGTTGAAGAGCCGGGTATCCGCGAAGTATCTTCGGTGAAGTACCTTCGCGCTTAATACTGGCTACCTAGAGCGGTCAACTTCAAATAATGATCCCGCCCCGGGCTTTGCAAAAGAAGTTGTTAGCGATAAGGCGGTAAGCTTGGAAAGGATGGAAAGTGTCGCCAAATTTTCATGAAATTTTCCGAAATTACTGAAATTTCTACTGACGAGAAATTCCAATGGACCACTAAACAACAGCAGGAAGGGACAAGGTACATGGCTGGAAAGAAAGAATGAAAGAAAGGGAGAGAGGAAGGACGGGAGACGTAGGCCACGTTTTAACACGGAAAGAACCAATCCGATGTATCAGGACTCTTTTCCGGACGTCTCACCGGTTGGACGGACAGCGACAACCGCCCTCTGAATACCAACTTGAGCCATGCTATTTGAATAAGATGATGAGGATTCAGCAACCGGTAGCTCAAAAAAAAAGCATGCGACCAGGAATAATGAGGAAAACGACTGTCGGATACACAAAGTAATGAAGGTAGCCGGGCTATCGGGCCATTATCAGTTGAGCAGGGTCCGATGGGAAAGGGGAGCCGGCAGACCTCGTGGGCCGTATCCGGGGACTTGGTCGCCGAAAAACAAGACAAAGGGAATCGGGGCCGGCGCCGGTAGCTGCAAGGTGCGATCGGGAATGTTTCAAGAGGGCCGTAGATATCGAATTCTGAGCGCTCATCAGGCGGGGAGTGCTCCGATCCGCTTCAGGAGGTATTGTACAGTAGCGCCGGCGGAGGCCTAGAACGCCGAGGCCGCTCAGGTTGGAGACCATGGTATCCTTGTCGTGCCAGCACACAGAGCCGATGTGAAGCATTTGAATGGGATTTATTCGTCCAACTGTTCATTGGGAATCCAATCTTTGCACTTTTTCAAGACTCGCTTGTTTCAAGACATTCGTATTTTGCAGCGTTGCAAGACCCGCTGGAGGGAACGTTGGGTGCATCTCTGAGTGCGTTGCGGACACATCACCATGGTTTGGATGCCCGCAGTCCTTAAAAAGTGGAATGCACGGCATGGCCGAACAACCTAGGTACCGACCCCACCAACCGACCACCGCATCCACCGGAAGAAGGCACACTAGCGAGTGAGGAGGGATGCTGCGGTTGCAGTCCGCTGACGGTCTGCAGTTGGGATGGCAGACAGCGATAAGCACTTATCCGAGCTTATCACCAGCTGTCGATAGGGGCAGATGCCCGCTTTCTATCCGGGCAGTGAGTGCAATGCAAGTGCTGCAAGTGTCAATACCGCTAATTCTCATTCGATTTGGATTCCTCTTAGCGTGTCGCCATACCCAATCTAGGTCTTCAAGCGAGTGTCTGGCGCTCAGAGGGTGACAGCGGGCGTGCAGACGGGGGCCAGTCTTTACTCTTAGAAGTTTAGCACGCCCATTTAAGGTATCCAAATCGAATGAGAATTAGCGGTAGACAAATCCAATGCAGGGACAACATGATGGGTGATCCCACTTGCCCTCCTGGCCCCTGGGAGATCCATCTCGATATCTCCAATCTCGACGGAACCTCAACTGCCCGCTACCCAAAAGTGCAATTTGCGATTGCAATGTCAAATATGTACTCAAATCGATGTGCTCTTCACTTGACACCCGACCGAGGTTGCGCCGGTACAATTGCATTGCTGTTGTCTAAGCCACACTCATCGGCACTCAACAAGGGGACCCGGGCCCTTTCCTTTGGGTTAACCACTGCCCACAGGCTCCTCCCCAATGTTTAGGTAGCATGGACATGGCGATGGGCATTCCAACGGCATGTGCAGACTGCGATGCGCCGACGGGAGATCACGATCGCAGCGCCAAGCGAGGAGAAATAAGAAAAAGAAAAAAACACTGCAACTCCGGCACTAGTATGTCAATATGATCAATATCCCACACCACCCCGTGCAGGCTGGGATCAAAGTCGAAGCTATATAAGTAGTCGGCCGCCATGTCAGGCCGGGTCGCATGTGCGACCACCACTTCTGTTGCGGCAAGTGTTCAAAAATGACGTTGTTGGCAACTTGACTCTAAGTACACTACCACGGCTTCCATTTGGGGGACCTTCCACAACCTGCCTTGAACTCCCGCGACAACACTCGCCGCGGCAGAGCAACAACCGCCAGGGCAGTTTATTCCAGGGAAATCAATTACCACGTACGGACACGAACAACAATCAACAAGACCAACATCACCAACCAACAACACTTGACTTGTCTTGTTGAGGTCCCAACTCGGCATCCGCCCTGCAGATCCAAAGCCGTCAATTGGTGTACTACAGTAATCGGCATCCTGTTCCGTCCTGGCAGGGCGGCAGACGCGTGCAGATACAAGCAGACAGCTGCACCAAGTGACAAGTCGGGCGTCCAACAGCTGAGCTGCTCTCCATCTCACGGCTCCATCGCCTGCGTCATCGGACGCCAAGCACGTCCCAGCACCATCCAGAAGGCTCAGAAGCACCGCCAGAGCACCATCAATCGGGCACCGGCACCAACGAAACACCACTGACCACTAGAATAGCACCTAGAGGTACCGAGGCGGGAACAGCGAGGAACTGGTAGCAAAGTCACCTCACCATTCATCACTGCAGTGCCACCAACACCGCACCTTCGACGACAGGGACTCGAGTCGGCAGTCCGTCTCAAAACGCTTCCGTCTCGTGGAAAAGTTACAAGACGGTAACAACACGCTCGTTTTGAAGTTTTGGCGATTCGCAGAGAACGCACCACACCACCACGGCACCACCAATACCACCACCGGCACTACCACCACCACAACGTCACACCCCGCGCCCCGTCCAATCTCAACAAGTGCACAAGCTCGTCCAGCGCTACTGTAGCTGTCTGTACCTTTCACAGCGATTCGCATTCAAAAGTCTTGGTTGCGCCCCACGTTTTTGAACCCAGGAGCTCAAGCACTGCTTCAAACAACACCGGAATGATGGCAGACAGCTACATTCCCAACGACAACGGCCTGGGAGAGGTGCGCATCATGCCCCAGTTCAGTTCCCTTCCCGTCGCTTTGCTTTGACATGTACATATGTCAAAGCAAGGCACATGCATCAGGACTTGTACTAAGCCATCTTCGACTTTTTTTTTTTAGATGCCCACCTCCCAGGTCCATCCGAACGAAGTCCTACAGGCATGGGATACCCAAAATATCGTCACGAGTCCATGGACACAACCCGGCATGAGCGTTCCCATGCCCGTGGTAACAGAAGGTGTGCCCTTCAATGCCTGGGAAAATCAGCAGACACCAACAGGCACCCCGCGATGGGGCGGCCATGATCCGAATGCCTCCATGTTCGCCGCCGACTGGAGTGTTACTTCAGTCACGCCTTCTCACGAACAATATCCTCATGGTGGCGACTATTTTGGCGCAGCAGCAATGACACACTCGATGTCGCCCGAGGACTCCATGTCCTACCCAAATGCTTCGGCGGGCTGGGAAACTGGCAGCCAGCCGGCTCTTTCCCCTTATACCGAGTTTCCCGACTTTGCCACCTTGAGGAGGAGCGAATCTGCCGAGGTCAAAATCGAACCCAACAACCAGCGCCTAGTACCGCTCATGCAGAAACCCACCGTCAACGAACCAGCATCTCCAGGGGGTCAGGCGAGGAGATTGGGAAAGCCAAACCTGGTTCCAACTGGGCCTCTTCACAGGAAGGTCAAATCAACCAGCAAGATCGGGAAACCTGACGTCAAACCAAAGCTCGCGACGGCCAGTGCGCTGAACACGGCAGTTCTCCAGACGCAGATGAAGCGCAAACACCCAGGTCCAATCCCCAACTTCCCAGGTCGACCAAACATTATGCAGACCATGCAGACCCACACTCCAGGAGTTAGCAGCCCTATGGCCTGGACAGGAGATTATCAAGTCCATCCACGGAACGCCTACTCAACACCAACGACACCCATTGGTGGACCCGGCGGTCAACCGATTACACCGATGGGAATGCCTATGGGGATTGGCAATTCCATGACCAATGGTATGAACAATGGGATGGTTAACGGTATGGGTAACGGCATGGGTATGCCAAACGGTATGCCCAACGGTATGCCGAATGGTATGCCTAACGGTATGCCCAGCAACGGAATGGGTATGGGCATGAACATGGGGATGCCAGTCACCAACATACACGGCGGTATGTCCATGCCCATGGGCTCGGCAGGCATGGTGATGACCTCGGGCATGGCCTCTCCAGTACCTCTCCCAATACCATCACCATACATGCATCAACCACCACAACAACCCATGGTCGGCGGTCCCGGAGGCGGAATGGGAATGGGAATGGGAATGGGAGTACCAGGAGGCCCTGGAGGCCCCGGCCAACACCGACCCAGCAACACCATGGCCACGATAGCCATGAGCCAGGACCCGCGTGCGGCCGCCGAGCAGATCCGGAAGGATGCCTGGCAGGTGTGCGAGCGTGAGCGTGTCGAGATGCTGCAGCGCCGCTTGATGCTGACGGAACACGAGCGCGGCATGCTTGACCAGGAGACAAACATGTTGCAGCTGAACTTGGGCAAGATGCGTCAGGTTGTAGCGAGACATCATCAGGAGTTGGAAGAGGCGGTCGAGCGGGCTCGAAAGTTGAATGAAGGATCTTCTTCCTCTTCTCAAGGTGGCCAACCGGACGACGAGGAGGAATTAGCGGGGCTACCTCAGAGCCAGGAGTTCGGGAAGTCGTAAGACATGAGGAGTAGAAATGCCGACAAGTCTCCTGTCGCGGTGACTGTTTGCTCCTTCGCTTCTTTCGCTACTTGCTGAAACGGGATACGAGAGGGCTGGTGAACGACCCTGGCTGTAACGAGAAGGGTATAATGGTGGTCAAGGGAACCGCCAGAGCAGGGCAAGGACCTCTTAGCACTCCTCGGCTTCGACTTTTACTTAGACTGTGATCGACTGTGCTCGACTGATCTAGAGTGACCGCAGTTTATGACCCGTGTACGTTAATTGTAATGATAATGACGGCTCTAAGGGATTGGATGGGATCGGATGGGATCGGACTGGATAAGGGAGGGAAGCTTTATTGGCACTCTTGTCTCTCTTGGATTAAATTTTAAGGCGTATAACGGTTGCCCCGGCTGGTTATTTGCTTTCTAGCTTCTTCCTTTGGCTGTTAGACGATACATAGCATACACAAGAGAGGTGTCAGCGATGTCTGGCTTACGTCATTACCATGTGGAAGATCACTCTGGTTAAAGCTAGGGTTTGTACAATGTGGTGAGGTGGTCTCCTCTTTGATTAGTAGCTTTGTGTTTGTCAAGTATTAGCATTTAACGCTGTTTAAGGTATATCTTAGAGCTAAGGAGTTGTATGTAAAGGTACAGCACCTATTAGTTACCGTATAGACTCGCGAAAAACCCGAATTCGGATGCCGGGTTGAATGTTGAGTTTGTTGGCAATTATGTACTTTACTCTGTGACGGTTGTCAAAGCAATATCCGCCATCCTCAACTCGACCGGAAATCTCAAGGGCTCATTCGTGTTTGGTTGGGACGTGATACGGAGCAAAGGACTATGAACTCGTGCCGAGTCGGAGTCGGACATCCCTGGAACCAATTTCTACCTACGATGATTCATCTTTAGCTGAGGAGGGAAGAATGCAACGCAAACTGCCTGTTTAAAAATGTTCGGCGTGCACGCGTCAAGTGTAAAAGACTTATGCACGGGCACGAACGGAAATGATGTGGGATATATTTCTAAAGTTCGAGATACCTGCACAGGAAGAGCAGCTAGCTGCTGCTACGGCCGTTTGGCTTTTTCATTTCCTTAATCAGATTTTGCTCTTTTAAATCCGAACCTCAACATTTTCAGTTTCAGTTCTGTTTTCGTTCAATTCGCTTTCTGTATATCCACAATCGCTTGTATTGTTTCTAAGAGGTATGTAGTTCGACCGTTGCCAAGCCCTGAAGCTTCATCCAAGCAACGGCGCAACGCCGAGCTCGGGTTTGAAGCCATCAGCACAAGCTTCCAGGGATCATGTTAGGAACGCCAGACCCGAGACCCGCCTGTCAAAATAGCCAAGGGATGATAGGGCCGATGTCGTTATTGTCAACAAGGATGGTTTGGTTCTTCAGCAAGATAAAAGCAATTTTTTGACAGTTCGTTTCGTTCGTTCGTTTTGGACAAAAAGCTTGTGAGAACAAAGGGCGGAAAGCTTCATCCTGGCTAGCATCTTGATAGTTCGGGTTTCACAAGGGCAATGATGTTTGCCGTTCCCACGAACCTCGGACGTGCTCCGTTGCCGTTGAGAAGTGGAAGCCAAGATCCCATTATCCATGCTCGGAGCATGGCACTCTGGAAGAATGACAAGGATAACACCCTGTGAGTACACTAACAAACTGTCGCGGAAAAGGATCATCGAATCAACATCAACAGGTCGATGTCTTGGCCGGCCCCTTCAAGTGGGTAGAAGTTACATTTCGCCCCCGAGAGGCTGGGGCCCGGGGCGGGCAACACGTTTCCTCCGGAGATATTCCGCGCCGTCGCCGTGCCTGTTTCTTCCCCTCATCTGCACTGGTAGATCACAAATGTGGTTTCTTCCGCTCGAATATTTCTCGCAGGAACATGCTCCGTTGAGAGCCTGGCCTAAAATGAAGATCCCGAGCCTCGGTGTCACTTGATCGGAGATTCGGGAGGAGATCAAGAGTATATCAGGGGCGGGGTTGAATGGGATGGGTATAATATGAACGAGGCACGCGAGGGGCAGAGCAATTCAACTGTTGCAATATCAAAGCAGCCCAAAACTTAACTCTCCGGCCAATCGCAACAACAGCCGACTTTCAAGACCGCTCCCACTTTCCGAAATCCATCACCGTTTTGGCACTTCTCACCATCATTGGACAGTGAGCACAGAAGCCCAAGAGTTTGGCAACCGTCTTTCAACATATCCCAAACGGATTGAGTCCGCAGCTTTGGGCTAGCGCTGTCGTAGCTTTGGTCAGGAGAACGGACTTCCAAGGTCACAGAGGATGGGCCCTGTTCCTGTTCACCGGTTAGCCAAATCCATGTCGTTAACAGCCAGGTCAAATGCCTGTCACCACACGCTACCAGAGTGTGAACAAAGCAGAAACATGCGATGAAGTGGCCGTCGGGAAAGCCATCATCAAAATGATCCATGCCATTACCCCAGGTTTTTGGAATTGCGGTGGCGACCTTGTGCCCCTTCAGGTGGCTCCCGTCCAGGCGCAAGTTCGCAATGTGAATGCACCGCTGTTCACGACGGGTGGCACCTCGAGCCACCAGATCAACCGAAGAGGGGACCCGAAAACCGGGAGATATTTACCGAGCTGACAGCAGAAAACATGCACCCCTTGTAAGCGCTCTGACTATTTACCCCAGACTTTTTCTCGTCGGTGTCACGACGGGTGTGACATTGCATGAATGCGGTCACGAGCGAAAAGAGGACAGCAACTGCCGGGTTACCACGCCCGGGACTCCTCTTTTGGCGGCCTATTACGCTCCAAACCACTGCGGTTCAATTTGGGAAATTGAAATCCTGCGTGGGTTGGGGCTCATCCGGTGACACCAGGGGGAAGGAATCTCAGAGCTCCCAACAGGCTTTGACGAAAGGAACCACCCGACTCGATGCGCTTACAAGTATGATGCAAGCTGACGCCAACACTCAACAACTAATAGGCCGATATTAGCATATTTCCCTGTTGGCATCTTTTTGAGCTCTGATCTTCATGACTGTTTTCAGCTCTTTCCTCCGGGTCTTATCACCACTAGGTGCTTGGGTTTAGTGCCGGCCAATTTTATATTGCCCCCGTTTTGCGCCCCCTTGCTAGTCCGTCTTCGGGTCGGCCTCCTTGCGTGCTTGCGGGCCCCAAAAGTCGAGTCTCGACCATCGCCGCCCATGCTCGCTCATGTGCAGTCGCACGTCAACACAAAATCAACGACTGCAACAACTCCTCTTTCCGTTGTTGCCTAACAAGACCGTTGTCGACGAACCAAACCGAGGGTTTCATCCACCAGACCGCCTAGGCATCGACGGCACATACCAAACGGCAGACCTCACTGCCGAAGCACGAGAGGCTCCATGACGATCGACCTAGCGACGCCAGCAGATGATCAAACGGGGACAGGAACGGGCGGACAAAATGGTGGTGGTACAAATTCGACAGTCGGGGGGAATGGGTATGAGACCTTCAACGTGACAACCAGCGGGAATGGAACAGTCAACGGAACATCTTGGGAAGAATGGAAGATACCAGACAACGCCGGACGACCACTCGACGCCGACATCATCGCTTGTGCAATAATAACGTGGCTGATTGCACTCACCTTTGTTGGGTTGCGGTTTTACACGAGGACCAAGTTGAACAGTGTGCTGGGGCCGGCGGATTGGTGTCTCATACCGTCACTGGTATGTTTATTCTGGGGATGGGGGAAGAAAAAACGCAGAAGTGAAAATGTTGCAGAGTGGACGGCACGACTGACGTTTGTTGTTGGTGTCTCTTGCAGTTGTTTTCGGCTGCAGTATCAGCAAGCGCGATTGAGCGTACGTTGTCCCCAGACCCATCAGTCCTTCCTTCCTTCCTTCCCGAGCGGAGCCCAGTCAGCATCTTCCCCGAGTCCCAGACATCCCAGGTCCACTCAGTTCAAGATCACCGCCCAGGTGACCTAACAGCTTCTTAACAACGCAGAGTCTGTCAGAGGAGCGGGGAAGCACGCATGGGTGGTCGACACCACGCAGTTGCCTGCGCTGGAAAAGGTTCGTACGGTCTGAAATTGGAAGTTCGCGATGGAGATTGAGGTTGAGGAAGATGCTGACCAGGTGGAAATTTCATGTTGTCGCAGGCAGCCTTTTACGGCATCATCTTCTACTCTTTGAGTCTCGCCTTCACCAGAATCTCCATCCTGCTACTCTACCGGCGCATTTTCACCTACAGCTGGACAAAGCGGGCCATTCAAGTCGGCATCGTCGTCGTCTCCGCCATTGGCCTTTGGCATGTCATATCGGTCTGCACCGTATGTGTCCCTCTCGACGCCTTCTGGGATTGGAGCTACTTCGCCATCCCAGGAAAGAAGGTCTACTGCCACCCCGCCAACGTGTGGTGGGTGAATGCTGCTTTGCATATTGGATGCGACTTGTTCATCATGGCTCTTCCCATGCCAGCTCTTTCCAGACTGAAGCTACCACGGCGCCAAAAGATGGCTCTAGTTGGCGTCTTTGCTTTGGGCTTCTTGTAAGTCCAAAAGCATCAACCAAGCCCCCGCCCCAGCCTCCTTGTCCTCCTTGTTCCCACGCACCGAGGTAAAGGGGTAATATTTGCGCTCATCATGACTTACCGTTCCCGCTTGTTTAGCGTTTGCATCGTCTCTGTCCTCCGCCTCTTGGTTCTGATCGAGAACAACCGCCAATTTGCAGACTGGCTCAAGTACTATAAGCCGTTCGACTCGACATACAACATGCCGCCCCTCATGTACTGGACAAATGTAGAAGTTAACGCTGCCATTACTTGTGCATGCATCATGACCCTCAAACCGCTTATCCAGCGACTTTTCCCCCGGCTGTTGTCCACCGGTAGCCGTTACATCCATGACCACAGTCTCCCCTGGATAACCCCTATCCACAGCACCCATAGGAGAAGCATCCACAGCAGGCGAGGATCCAGGCACTCATTTGCTCACCCTCAATCCCGCGCACATCGACGACACCGCTCCGACTCTACCGCGACGAGCCCGATGTCGGAGATGAAACCAGGTGGAGAGGGCGCCTTGACGAGCGCGGACGAGTACGACAACTATGATCGTCGCGTCTATAATGAACTGTTTCGAAAAGAAGCCGCGCTGCGAATATCCGACCTCGAGGCTCGGGGGATTCACCATGGTGGTGGTGGTGGTAGTGGTAGTGGCACGTCGACCGCCTCGATGCAGGAACGTGCGAATAGGGGTAGCCACGAACTGGGACGGGACCGAGACCAAGATTCCATGTCCATGACGGGCACATCCCTTGGCGGGACAGTGTCACATCAACTTCACGACACGTCGGATGGGGATGACGGTGAAGATTCCCAGCTCAGAGCTCCGCCAAGGGCTCATTTGCGATTATCCATCCACGTGACAAGGTCGATTCACGTCACTCGGTCACCGCCCAGCAACTCAGCCACCGGTTCCGAAAAGCTTGACGATGCTGCTGACATGCAGGGTAACCGTAACCAAATCCGGGGCGAGCTGCGTGGAGAACAGTCCGGGGAGGTGGAGATGGAGACTGCTTTCTCCAGATCCAGGCCATCTTTCGGCGGGGATCCAAGATACGCGCCGCCACGGGAAATTGCTGGAAGGAGTGGTGACCAGGTCGAGACAGTTCAGAGAGACAAGCAGCACCCGGTGGTCTCGGCCCCTTGAAAGTACTGGCGTTGTGTCCATGCCGTCGCCTGTGGATGATCTCTATTACATCGTCGACCAGCAACAGCAACACGAAGCTTGGCGCCCAAGACGGGGGAGCGCAGGCAAGTGAAGAGGAGACTTGCACGGCGGACCGGAACCGTTGATTGGCAAAGTTTTCGAGAACTGGGTCGCTCGGCTAAGCTACGGCTTGAATTTGCTTTTTGCCGCTTCATGTCTGGTCTGGCTGCCCTATTCAACACCACGTTCCTTCTTTATTATTTGTTGGCTTCTAGGCCGAGCGAGAAGGACATCGTCGTTGACGTCGTTGTCGTCGTTGTTCGAAATAACTGCATTGGTGTTTTGCGGTCTTCGGAGTTTGGCGTTATTGTTGTTAAGGAAAAACGCTATCTGCTGCTGCTGCAAGGTCGGTGTATAATCATGGGAGCCGTTGGAAAGGGGGATCATCGGTCGGTGTTTGTTGTTCAGGTTTCTGATGTCATGATACCCTTTTCGAGTTCCAATTCATCCGGTACAGAAGACTGTTCCTATTGTGTAAGGGGCTGACGTCGGTCAGCTGCGTGGCATGGAATCGTGCCCTTGGTCCACAACAGGAGGCGTTCAGCTGCTGGAGCATTGGAAGGTTTCCATCGGTTGAAGCTCGCCCCGAGGTCCAATAGTCGGTGTCGCTCCCTGAAGGGTGAGCGGAGAAATATGAACACAAGGAGTAGAAAGGCCCACTGTCCACCGGCGGACGGTGGTCACGATACCCGTGCTCGAAGCGGGTCTGAAACGGCCTTCGAGGGCGCCTTCATGCTTCTTCGGCTTGGCCTCCTGCCTGCAATAACCTTTTCTTTTCGAGTAGGACAACGAACGTTGACAAGCGCTCGCGGATAACCAGTTCCTGGACTATACACGGCAAGTGGGAGCGTAGCGTGTATATGCAAGATTCCTCCGATCGAGATCTTGGAGGACAAATGACGACGACGACATACTGAGGGGAAGAACGGCACGCCGGCATCACACCGTCACTACCGACAACCGGTCTTCCAAATACTTTTGCCTCAACGGGTCGAAGCCAACAACCCCTCTCCGCCAACGTACACGAGATCCCTGGTGACCGGCACGGAAGTTGCCCTCTCCTTCCTCCGTGGCTCTCCACAGGAGTTGAAAGATAAGGGGCCTGCGTTCCATGTTCCACCGCCTACTCCACATGCTGAGCGGATTGAGGACGGATTGCCATTTGTCGCCAACTAGGTTGACAATGGGAGCGGGGTGGGTGAGGGCGGTCTTGTGCGGATTGGGCAAGCATCGAGGATCTGGAAAGGAAGTTCACAGTTTGTGCAGCGGAGAGGGCGCAGAGTGGGATACTAGGGTGCTCCTGAATGGGGGGTCGCCGATTCATGGAGGAGGGGGTTCCGGGATTATCTCCTCCCTCGCATGTAATATGTACCTACCTGTATGGCTTTAGGCTTTCCACTTGGGCCTTCTCCACGTCCCTTTGACCCCATCCGTTCCTCCCTGGTCAACCTCTCCAACGCATAACCGCCAACCGCCAACCGCCATCTGACCGATGGCGCTGCAGAACGGTCAATCCCCCGGATACGCGCGCAAGTCATAATGCGGCTTCAGTACGGACGATGCGGAGAAAATAAAACGATACGACGCCGGGGGACGCCAACCTCGATGAATCCGACGAATCCAACCGTTCAAACATCTTAGTCAGCTATTTAGGGTCGGTGAAGCCTGTTGTACTGCACAGCGCCAGTACGTGCTACTGTACATTGCTTAGAAGATCACGCCCTGCCCGCGCTGCTCAACAAAGATCAGCTTGTCGTCGACCCGCCAGTCGAGGTTGTCGTTCTGCCAAGACTTGGCTTTCCTCGTTGGTCGCATTGGCGTCGCACTCGTTAGTACGCAGAATGTTCCAGGGGGGGCAAAGAGTGCCGCGTCCTAGCCGCATCGGTGCCGGTTAACGTATATGCTACCTTTGAATGCCGGCTGCCCGCCAAGTGCACGGCCCTACTGTACGGACACAAGGAGGTTTCGGCTGGGCAGTCTGGGCGTTGCCTCCTTGATGCTTTGTTTACCTTGGGCTTCGGCTAAGCCTAGCAAAAAAGGGGCTACGCTTATCTTGTTGTTGTCCACGACAAACCGTGCATTTTTCATCTCAGGCAAAACGAAGCACAAAGGGCCTCTTGAAGATGGATTAGTCAACATAGATTCATGCCTCACCGTCGACGGACCCTTGCATGCAAAACAGAACCCCAAGCAACGTCGTCGCCATGCACTTTAGAGATGTCCGTTAGGTAATCCGGTCCACAGTCAACTTCTTCTGGTGATCCTGCGGGCACTGGATCCAGAATTACAGGAGGGTCATCGAGGGTTATGCGTGAGATTCTGCGACTTGGGCGGAGTTTGATCACAACTAGGTCACGGCAAGCTGGGTACGGCGCGAGTCATCACACCTCGATGGGGCCCACCACCTCGGTCAAATTTGCTCCATTGCTGTGGGAAAGCAAGAGATTTTGAACCCCCTTGGAGACAAGCCTTCTTCCATGATCCTTTCACTTGAGCCTTCTTGTTCTGGGGGTCTGGGCGATCCGAAACGGCTGACATTGTGAAAGCGAAAAATGGAAGAGTCAAGTGAACATTTGACACATGAAGCAGCCACCGTTGGGGGGCTTGTGCCGTTCATGAACCGCCTATACCAACTCCGAGAACCATCATACCGGATGCACACGGGGGCCGGTGCGCCGCATCTGAACTTTATTTCATCCTATCCACTTTTCTTGTGCACCTCAACCCCAGGTTTCTGGTCTTCAGCCAGCCGTGCTAACCACGGACGAGACCCGGGCAGCTTCGGTCGTAAATAACTGGACTTTCACGGTCTCACCGGCAGCAGGACGGTCAGGAGATCCATCCAAAGTCAATAGTTTCCTTTATCGGTCTTCTTCTTGAGCCTCCGTTGTGGAAACAGAGTCTTGATCTAATTTCCATCTTTGCCGTTCACGAAGCTGCAAATCCGCGGACGCGGACGCCTCATCCCCAAGAAGATCCTCCAGACTTCAAACTCCATTGGGAGTGACTTCATATCTCAGCAAGCAGGGATGGGGTCTTCCATTCCTGGTCTCGACTGTCGAGGGGTGTACCTGGTGTTGGAACTCGACTCCACCACGGAGCCACGAGATATCCACAGCTTGGGAGGGATGCTTTTTTAGGCTGTTTCTCCGGTTCGGCTCCCACACATTTGAAGTACTACTTGCCTCGACCTTCGTCCGATTTTGTTATCACCCGTTGCTTCATCTTCTCTTCTCACACCACCATACCTCACCTCATCATCTCAACCCCGCACCATCACGAACACTTTTCACCTATCGCTGGGCGCGACATAGTTCCTGAACCTCCTTCGACGACCAGCAGTTCGTCCCAACATCCGCCAGAGTTCCCAGTACGGGGGAACGTCTCTCTCACTCTTCCATCACATAACAACACCCACCCGGTTTCGAGCTTTGTGAGCCGATAGTCAAACCGCCAAGATGTCTCGCATTCAAAATCAGCAAAATACCGTCTGGGTCCGCAATGGCAACGCCTACAGCCCTATCGAGACGATCGAAATCGTCGGCCGTCTGGGTACCTTCAAGGCCAACATGTTCCCGCTCAAGGTCTTCTGCTCAGCCGTGTCTGCTGGCTGTCTAGTATCCTTCGCCGGTGGTGCCACTTTCATCGCCAGCGACATTCCCTGGATGGCCGAGAACACCCCTGGCCTCGTCAAGACCCTCAGCTCCATTCTCTTTCCTTGCGCCTTGGTCATGATCTTTATGAGCGGTGCCGACTTGTTTACCGGTTCTACCATGGTATGTTGTGCATGTTGAAGATGCAAAGGATTTTTGTGTTGCCTTTTCGGGTGCTAACCTCTTGTCTAACAAACAGTTGACTTGTGTGGCTTGTTTGCAAGGCCGTATCAAGTGGCATAAGATGTTGCTGCATTGGTTCATCTGCTTCTGGGGTAACCTTGCCGGCTGTCTTTTTGTTATGGCGATTATCTTTGGTTGTAAGTTGCCTTGTCTCTGTTTTGTCCCACGGGACTCAATCGCCTTGGAGCAACGCTAATTCCTCTCTCTCTCTGTTTTCAGATGGTGGCATGTTCACGGCTCCTTCTCAAGTCAAGGTGATTCAGAACTACGTCCACGCCAAGCAGGTTGTTCCCGAATGGCATCACATCTTCATCCGCGCTATTGGCTGCAACTGGCTCGTTTGTCTCGCTGCCTATCTCGGTCTTGCCGGTAGAGATCTCATGTCTCGTGCCATGGGCATGTGGTGGCCTGTGTTCTGCTTCGCCATTCTCGGTCTCGATCACGTTGTCGCCAACATGTTCTTCATTCCCATGGGTATCTGGCACCACACCCCCGGAGTCTCTGTCGGCCTTTACATTTGGAAGGGTATGTCGTTCTCTCTCCTTTTCTCGTTGATGGCAATGAAGAAAAAGAAGCTAACACTCTTGAACCAGGCATCATTCCTGCCCTCATCGGAAACGCCATCGGCGGCGGCGGCTTCTGCGGCATGTACTACTACTTCATGTACCTCCACAACCAGGACCCGGTGCCCATCGACGGCATCTACTTTCCTGCCGACTTGGCCAGGCTCGAAGAGGGTGGTGCGCTTCCCCAGTACGAGAGTGACGACTGCGTCGTTACCACTCAGGAGCAAAAGAAGTAAAAGCAATGTTCTGACGTTTGTGCGGTGGTTTAATATAGTTTAAAGAGTTGATTAGAGTCTCAACGAAATATTTGGATACCCCCCCCCCTTCCTTGGAGGACTGAGGTTTTTGGGATAGGAAGAGTTGGGTTTAGGCCACTCTCACGCAGGCAAAGAGCCGGGATTGAAAGCTTTGCACACGGACATGGAGTCTTGTAGTGCAGGAATCTTTTTCCCCTCTTTTCACTTACGGGAATGGAGGACGGCATAATGATGGAGTCGGAGTTGAATCGTCGAAGGGATATACGTTGGTTACGGTAAACGTTAGTATATGAAGCCATACTCTTATAGATGGCAGTTAATGAATGACAATTAACGACGGTTAGCGTCAAAACACTCAATCTCCTGCCGTTGCTTGGTTGTTTGGTGAACTGGAAAATTGGAGATGCAATGAAATCCCTGTTGCTTTGGGTGCCCGTGCAGTGCCCGGCGGTGGGATACTGCCTGTGCTCGGTGAATGATGCACCGAGCCCCGGCCACCCTGTAGATCTTGAAGTGCCGGTGCCGGCGTTCCACTAGGTACAATGCAGGCACCTTTGAAAGTCACCACTTTCGATGACGTTCAATCGTGCCGTATAAACGCGCCTCGCGCCGCAGTCCATGTCCCATTGTACCTGCCATGTCAATCAAGCTTGTTGCTGCCGCGTGCAGTGAGCGCAAAGAATGGAAGTTAACTGCGATGTCCCTGACCTGTCTGTACGGTACTGAGTACTGGGATAAACATTGATCCTTCCTGCTGTTGGATGCCTCGGTCGTTGCGCTTCACTCACGCAGTTTCCAAAACGCAGTAAACCACAAATCAAACCTGCCGTGCGGTGTAACCTGCGCGGTTCACGCACGGCATTCACGGTGAGCTGAGTGCAGTGTCCAAAACGGGCACACGGAGTCCAACCAACCTGCAGTGCAGCGACGGAACCTCGACCAGGTACCTCCCGTCCGCTTGAGCACTGTTAGTGAGGTCCAATCTTGATTATGACAAAAATGATCGCTCTAATACCCCTTCTAACAGAACTTGGCAAGAGTACATTGAGGTTCTCGCCTGTTATGATGTCTTCAGCGAGGCTGCTAGCCCCAGTGGTCCCGCTCTTTTCGAGATCTGCCCGGGTGTTCCGGACCCTTAAGGTCACGGGTCATAACCTGGAACTCGTCGCCGTCTTATCTGGGCGGGCGGCTACCAGGGGAACGCATTCAGTCCAAGTTCGTTTATGTCAGCATTTTCCAGGTTCAAGTTCCATGTTACGTACCTTATCATGTGCGCTTGGACGCGGCTCTTCCCGTCGTCACCGTCATGGCCAGAGACGGCTTTCTAATCCATCAATGTTCGGCCCGCATGATCGTAGCCCTGACGAGTGGTAGTGGAGGTACGGATGTCGAGTGCGCTTTCTGAGAGTGGCGACCTGGGATGGAGGTCCGCGGTCTTCCTGTTGAGGGCTTCCCTTATTCCTTCTCGAAACTTCCAGGTTCCATCAGTCGAAGAACTAGCAACGTGGAAAGTGGAACTTCTCGGACTTGTTCAACAGTTGTTCCAAGGGATCGCGGGTGTTCGTGCCTCTAAACACATGGCGCTCGCACGCTCAAGTTGAAGGAGTGTGTGCGGGACGAAATCTCTGATTCAGTTTTAAAGTTCAGTTCTATGCGCAATTCATGACATCGACTTTCGGCCACTCATTGCTGTGGCCGGCCTGCGACTTGCCTGACAGAACCGGCCGCTTGAAGCAAGCGGTGTCTTGCTGCGCTTCAGTTCGGTGCATTACAGAATGCAGTACAATTGAGAGCTTCATACTGCCGCCATCTTCATGTTGAGTTCGTGAGTTTATCGTCTGTCCGTCTTATAAAGTGATCCTTCAGTTCCCGTCGTCTAGGTCCTCAATCAAGTCTTCGACGTTAGTTCGGCTCTGAAAATTGCACTACTTCTCATCCGATCTTGAGCAGCTACAGCAAAGCCCCTAGCCTCCGGCATCCCCGGCCCCCTCCTTTCAGATGCCAGCTGGAGCTCTTGAGGGTAGAAAGACCCAACTTCCTCTCAGGTTTTTTTCACAGCACGGGACTGCACTTCTCCTGGGTCCTTTCCCTTGACCGTTTAATCTCCGGCCGGCACCGCAGTCTAAACTTGGAAGGCTCAAGGCCCAGCTAATCCGTGAACCTTCTTGGACGGATTTGGTGCACGGGTTGGTGTAAAGAAACAACGCGGTAGTCCCAGTCCCAGCGTCACAGTTCCCCAATCCCTCGCTGTTTGTTCCAGGGACGAACCTCTTCTTGCCGTCCGACGTCAACATCAGGTACGATACAACTTCGACCAAGCAGGGAAGGGGCGAGAACGGGATTTGTTCCGTCGTGGCACTGGTTACCTCTAAGGTACCCAAAGCAACCTCTTCCAGGGTTCTGACTGGAAGTCACTCCATTCAGGCAGGTGAAGTCGATCGAGAGCCGTTCTGGATCTCAAGTTGCCACGAGTTTGACGCGTCATAGAGCTTGACGAGCAAAACTTTTTTCGCCCTTGATGCAGGTGAACCGTGGAACCGTGGTTCTGTTCAGTGATCTCGCATGATGGTCTGCCGTGAAGGTTGTCGGCAACTGTTGTGTATCCGATATGAGAGTCCAGCTATTACCAAGGTATTGCAGTATCCGGGTGCAGCAGAAGAAGACAGATACTGAGAGGAGCTAGGTATGCTTTGTCTAGGTAGCTGTTGACCATCCAGGTTCGGATGACAAGCAGGATAGAGGCATCAGGTACTAACGGCTTATACTTCAATAACGGCGAAGAGATTTGGGCACCTCTAGATGCTATCCTCAACGCAAAGATATTCCGCCTCCACTCCACCGAATCTATCCACGGACAATATTTCTCCCACAGGCAAAACCCAAACGATCAGTATGCCGCTTCTGGCCGTAAAGAGGGCAGGACATTGAGGGGCAATGGTACCTTACGCATACGCAATACCAACGAACCCATTTCCATCCGTCCCCTCAAAGCGATGGTGAGGGATGTGTGATTCAGGCACTGAACATGTAGTGCCATTGGACCAGCTGCTCCTTGTCCTAGGAAGTAGGAAGGGGCGAAAACATCATACAAGCTCTAGACTTACCCCAGATCGAAGTGACTCCGGACCCCGACTGGAGCGGGATACTGCACTGCGACCTTATTATAGCAACACCAGACAGAACCGCTTAGACTCCGACGTTTTCTAGTTCCGTATATTAAACTTGCTGCAATACAACAACGGTCTAGCCTAGATACTCAATCCCAGACTATCGAGGTAGTCCCGGGCCTTGTTATCAAGGGTCTGTCAGTGCCTAGAACCTGTCCAAGATCGTTGGGTCGTCCGTTGCAGTTGCATGTGGGAACACTTGGTCCGGCCGTCAGGCCGCCCCTATGTACCCTGCGTTCCCTGACCCCTGAACAACATGCAACAAAGATGCATTGATCTGGAGACTCAAGAGTTTAGGTTTGCCAGAAATAGGTGCATTTAGATGGCATTGCAGCGGTTGATACAGTAGGTATGGACTATTATTCTAGGTCTTGTTGTCATGGTGATGGATTACCTTACCCTTTGGTTGAGTGAAGTGCCACTGGAGGTAGGATGTCAAGGCCAAAATCAATACTGCGAATTCTGCTGGTCCAAGAACAAGATTCGAAAGCTAATACGTCAAACAACGTGCTTGCTGTCAATCAATTGAAGCTCTTGACCAAACAAGGGAAACTACAACTGCCGTGCAAGAAGACAACAGCGATTGGATTATGAACTCAACCGCTTCCTGACCCGGAGTACTGATTGTTAGGTCACGAAACTCGAGTATAGCTCTGCTGATTCCTGTCTGTTACCTGCAACACTCAACCATGGCCCAAAGACAAACTATCACCAACCTCAGAAAGCACCCACAACGAGATAGGAAGGTGCAAAAAAAGACTCATCCAAATGCAGCGGACGAGGCAGCTGGGGTAGTAACGGCCAAGAACAGAGCAAATTGAGACTGACGAGTTTTCCGTACAAGAACATTTAACTAATAGCTCGATTCATCAAAATAGTGGAATGAACCCAGGCAACTCATCACGGAACCATCTCCTCCTTGCCTCTGTTCCATTGCCCAAAACCATCACTAGCCCATGACTTCTCGTCAAGTCCCCTATATTACCCCAGGTCCAGTTCGACCATGTGCAGCTACCAAAAATAACTTTTGTGCCCACTGCAGGTGCAAAGTGTGATTCCGTTCTTCCCTGGTTGAGTCTAGGTAAACTGCAACTCTATATGTTGCTACCATGTCCCAATGTCCCAATGTCCCGTCCGTCTGTGTCCGTCCCCTAATCGAGGTCAAGGTAACGGTAGAGCGTAGAGGTAATGTTTGGGCTAGCCATTCATTGTCGTTCGCTTCTTTCCTTGGCTCGAACCAAATGAACCAACCATGGACCGGACCGGGGGTGCATTATATCGTGAGTGAGTGTGGAATGAACCGTTGCCCAATCCAGGGACCCGGATTCGCGGGTATCCAATATGGATAAATAGGAGCCGGAAGGTCCGCATCCAAACTGTGGTTCTGTTAAAGTTTTCTTTTTCGCCTTTTGGTCTCGCTGGGACTGCGGTCCCCGGGGAATCGAATGAGTGGTACTGCTACTATCAGGGCCACTGTAATTAATGGAGAACATGAAATTTGCCTGCCTCATGCATTTGCCCGATTCCATCACTTCCATCTATGCTGCGTGCGTTGCGTGGCAAATGAGGTCTACCATGTCCAGGTTTCTTTCGTCACGACGACGATCGATCTAGACCCTTTGCAAATGTGTTTTAGAGGGAAAATGCGACGATAAGGGAAGTCGGGGTCTAAATTGCATCATGTTAGCGTCGTCTATAAGAAGGACATGAGAGGCCCTGTTCTTCGGATGCCGAGTCCCCTCTCTTTGCTCATTGTCATCATCATCATCATAATCACTTACAACAACCGCCATTGACTTCTCTGAAGCCCCTTGCTGCAATAGCCCAACCCCTGAACTTTCATCTTCTCAACGCCAAGGCACCGACCATCAGTCACCGCTACACTAGGTATCAGCCAGTCAGCCACATATCACACAACACAAGACAAAACACAACACTCACAATGGGTCCCATCACCACCACACTCACCACCCTCCTCTCCCTCACAACCCTCGCTCTCGCCGAGTCTCCAGCAGGGACCCCGCGCATCAACTCCATCAGCTACTCAGGCAGCGGATGCCCACAGACACAGGCCAAATTCAGCGGCAGCCTGAACGACCCGACCCTCACCTTCAACCACTTCGCCATCGAGTACCCCAACACGGTAAACCGGACGGCCAACTGCCAGGTGCACCTGCAGGCCAAGGGCGTGTCGGCAGGCTGGCAGGTTTCCATCAAGGATACGTTCGTGGACGGCCACGTGACCCTGGACCCAGGCGCAGCGTTGGATTACTTCTCGACTGTTTACTATAGCTCGAGTGCGGACGATGCTGTAAGTTCTTCCCGTCGTTAGTGAAAAACAGGGGCGAGAATTCACGAGAGGCTAACATGACGCAAATCAACAGGTTACCAGCAAGGGGACACTCTCCAACGATGGCTCGTCCAGGATTGACAAGGCAGTCACCCTCCAGAACCACTTCAACGCCAGGGCCTGGTCATCGTGCACGACATCCTCAGATGACGGATTTGGCATCCTGAACATCAACTTCCGCGGTGCTCTACGCAATGAGAAGTCGTACTTTGAGGCGACTAGTGAGACTTGGGACTTGGATTGGAGGAGGTGCTAAGATGGTTTGGTGGCTACCTAGTAAGGCTGGTGATTTTACTGAGCTCTGATGTTTCACTTCATTTTCATGGAGGCTCCGTCTGTTGTTTCTCGCCAGAACGGTTGCTCGTTTGTTCATTACAATTTTGTTGTTACGATAGGAGATGGCGGAGGAGTGTAGAAGGCTGATAAAAAGGTGCTTTCCCAAAAGTAAAAGAGAGAAAGAGTTCGGCTTTTGAAGTTGAACAGTCGAAGAATGAATATTCGAAATCAAAACAAAATGGTTCTGTGTGTGGTGCAATTTGTGCTTGTCCTTGACACCTCGAAGCCATCAGGTGGTAGGTCATCAAGAGGTTGATGCTCCTGGGATGTCCGATCACAACCTCCGCACCGTCGTGCACCCCAAATGGCATGAGAGGAGCTGAATAAGCTGCCGAAACATTGACCAACGGAGACGAAATGAGAATGAGGGGTGCTGGACTTCCTCTTGACAAGCGCAGGGCTTGTTCCTCTTGCCTTCTCGATGAACGGTCAGTTGGGAATAATAGAACTGCAAGGTGCTGAGATGGTGACCCTAACGGAGGCCTCCAGGTCACTCAATCCAAAAGCCGCGGACATCCGGAGCTGCAACATCCAGGAAGGGAAATAAAGATGCTACATGTTCAAGAGGCAATGAGATGTCACAGAACTCAATTTGATGATGGTTTCGTAGAAGGAATGCGGAGTGTCTTCACATCGGTGTTATGCTGCATAACTGAAGCGAGGTGGCTGCGATGCAGAATGGGGGTTGTGCAACACCACCAAAACACGACGATCTTTTTGAGTTCCGACGATATACAGCGGCGGGATACCCGAATTGGCAACTGCAAAAGCTTATTATCGGTGGTGCATGCGATGCGACTTTCACACCGCAACTCATGAGGCCAATGAGCACAGAGATGATGGTGTTGTTGTGAGAAGGAGTTCGTCCCATCCGAGTCATGGCGCAAAGCCTGATGGCTGTCAGTGTTAGTGCCCGCCTGTATCCGAGTCCGCACCGGGTCATTGCAAGGCATCCCGCGTTTCTAGGGTAGCAGATTTCCAACAAATATTCCCCGCAAGGGATCGCTTCAACCCCCGTGCCCATCGTGGTTGTTGTGCTGATCGATCTCCTCCAGCGAGTAGATTGCCTAATGGAGAGCAGAGGCGCAACACATCGATGTCGGATCATAGGACAAGAAGGAAAATGAAAACAGGAAAAGATGAGTGCATAGAGCGCAACCCTCCTTGGATCTTGAAGCGACGTCGTGATAAGAGCTCATGGTCCAAGCTTCCTGCAGAAGCCCACCAGTCCGGACACTGCAAAGTAGGTGAAATCTGATATCAATAAGCACCTTGAACGCCGAAACTTTCCTTCTCAGTGGCTCACCGAGCTGCCGTTGAATGCACAGCGTGCATGGTGCTTGTAGGGATGGAAGCAAGGTGGTGAAATGCAGCCGCACTACGGCATATGTGTGAAGATGGTTGAATGGCGTGAATAACAGGAAGGCCAAGGGATTTTGGTGCCCGGTTTCTTCTTTGTCCAGACACAGACCGAACTGCCACGACTAGGCCGGATATTGAGCAAGGCACCGGGCAGACCGTTTGGCCATGGCTTGATTCCAAGGTAGAGAAAAAAGAGTCCTTATCTTCTGTGTGAAACATGCGCCATTTTCGGAATGACTGTTTCGTCATTGTCATTGACAGTCTGTAACACAGGCGGGTAGAGAGCTCCGTAAGGTTAGGTTGTTGAGAGTGAGGGCTCGTGAGGGGTAGCTCCCACTGTAATTGCGCCCTTGTACCCCATTAGCGCCAATAGAGAAGAATGGGCGTTCGCTGCAGAAGCCACGGTCAGCCCTCGGATTCGAATATCGTCCCCGTCACACCGTTTATTTTGCTTTCACCTCGTCAACTATCCGCACGGCATCGGATGCCAACAACAGTCTCAAGAGGGTGGGAGAAGGGCAGGCTGATTTATTGGCAGGGGTCGGCAGGGTTCTCCAACCGTTGTAGGTGGCCAGCCATTGTGCGACAATCGGTGAAGAATTTGTGGGAATTGTGTATCGCAGCGATGGGAAACTAAGCAGACCGAAGAGGACGGATGATGATTTGCATTTTACCATGCCACCAGCTGATGGTCGAGCAGAATGGAAGGCTATTGCCACGGGTTACCGAATTTCTTCCCTTCCATCGACGGGATTTTGAGCCTTGAGCCTCTTTGCATCACCGACCAGTTAGTTTGGTTCTCCCATGAGCCAGATATTGTCCGTGATTCGCTTGCCTTATAATGGAGTGGTGGTTTTGTGAACCCCGAGTGATGAGATGATCAGCAATGGGGGCGATTTCCAAGACCGCGTACATTTTGGCATGACAAGACATCGGGAGCGCGTTGGCTGAGACCACAATGACCACTGCAGATGCATGGAGCCTGTTCGTCATGTTGATTGCTAGGACCGGTAGTATTCCAAGGAAGCAATCCTTTGAAATGGAGGGAGACGATGGAAATCAAAGACAGCGACAACGACAACAAGAAGTTTTCATGGCAAGAGGGTTGCTGTTTCCCTTGTTGGGTGCAGAGTGGGCGGGGAAATTTCGCCGCTCTTTGCGGGCAGGAAGTGACTGAGAAATACAGCGGGTCATTTGTACCAGGTACATGATGGACCATGCGCATGCATGCAAGTGGCCTAGCGATTGGGCACAAGCGCCTTGTACTCCGTACTTTGCAGTCGCGTAGCCTGCAGTCGTCATCCGGGTCGGCTACGACCTTTTACAGTCTCGTCTCAAAAGGCAGTTGCAACCACTGCACTGAAAAGAAACAAAACAGGCCAGTCCAACGGCCGGGACGTTACCGGCTGGCGGGGACGGGATGTACGACGTAGAGGTACAGGATGGGAAATCGCATTCCATCCGCCGCCGCCCTCTGCTCCTGCCGGCGGGATTCGACAATTCAATCGTGGCGGAGTTCCCTCCATGCAACAATGTCGTTCTCGACACCACCTCCGAGCACCTCCTCCATCGAAGTGTCATTTTCCCATTTTCGCGTGACAACGTCTCCTCAATCCTTTCTCGACTTTGGTCCTTTCCAACACCACCATCATCCAATTATACGGGCTGCACAAACACAAGAAACGAGCAATGATCGTCATTCCCCCCTCGCAATAAAGTCAAGCCGTCATCAAGGGCTTCGCACCCGTCGAGCCTGGCCCTTGTTATTGGAGGAGACTTCGGGCAGGCGTCACCTCTCACTCCTTCTGATATATTGGAAACCGCACACTCACCGTTCTTTATCCCACCTTCACATGTGTGCAAGGCAGTCACGGCAGAGGCAGGCTACAGCGGCTGGTTAGCGGTTGGCCCTTGTGAACTTGTCCCCCTCCAAAGAAAAGACAAGGTAGCCGCCGGTGACGGCGCCCCGAGTTTCGAAAGCCCATCTCGAGGATACCTTACCAACTGAGCCTCCAATGTGAGAGCCTGACTTCCATCCCGTCAGGTATCTCAGGTGGAATAACGTTGCCGATGTGACACATTACGCTGTCCACTCTTTGATGGTCCCATTGAGGGAATTGGTCGCGGCAGAGACCCGAGATCACGGTGATTACCTGCCGGTGGACGATGCTGCGCAATGTGGTACTCCCGGTCGCTTTCCACCCTCGTCGATGGATTCCAGCGCACAGATTGAGAGCGTACTGCAGATGCAGGATGGCGAGATGGTGAGATGGTGAGATGGTTTGGTGGTCAACTTATAGGATTGGGGAAAGAGGTACGTAGACCGTTGACGGTATCCCGTACAGTACCTTCTCTTGCCAATCTTGGCCAGTTTGCTGATCGGTTGTCCGGCGTACGGTGCAGTGACGACGGGGACCACTCGGAGTCGCCACTCACTGTTTACTGTAGCCTAGCTTGACCTCTCATTCACGGCCAGCCTGTTTTGTTTGCTCCAAAAAAAAGTGCTTTATCTGATCTGCCCCTCCATCCCTTCACCTACCTGCCTCGAGCAGACGGGATATAAAACTCGCCCTTCGTCATATCAAGGTCGTTGACCTCTTTCCTTCAACTCATTCTTATTCCGTCGAGTGGTTGCATCATCTTCACCACTGCTGCAGAGGTTAGTTCTCCATTCCGACGATCGGGGTCCTTTGCCCTTCCTGCCTTTCTGGAGCTGTAAATGTCATCGCCATTCTAGGACCCATAGCTGACAGCTGTTCCTGAATCTCAAGTACCATTCACCATGGCCTCACCACCTATGCCCATCCACTCGTCCGGGCGACGTAGGGGGTCTGCCGCACGTAGGGAGTCTAGGGACTTCCATGAAACCCTCCTCGACACAGTGTCTCTTCTCGGGACCTCATACCTATCCACCGCGCCCATTGCCCAGGAAATTCTTGCCAGGGATCTAGCAGAGTTGGAGGACGACGAGCAAAATGAACGAGACGAGGAATGTCGCTCAGATGACGAGGAGGACCTCGAACCCTCCATCGATGTCGGCTCTCTACCTGTTGGAGCTCATCTAGTTTCACGCCCTGGCGGTATTGCCTATGGCACCCTCAGACCCATCATCGCCAGCGAGATGCAGGGTAGTCCGATTGTCTGCGAGACCGATGTTGTCGAGTCCCGTGCCGCAGAGCGCAGTCTTCTTCGCGATAACCACCTTCTCCCACCCAAGCATCCTCGATCACCCGATGATCCGCTTTGGAAGAAGATCTACCGCCGTCTGTTCAGTACCAAGGTCCCTGTCTCGGACAAGTCCTTCGAGGAGACACCGCTCCTTCAGGACTATCCCCTGCCGCCATCACCGACCATCAGCGAGGAGATCAACCAATGGGAGCGAGCTGTCGCTCAGAACATGCTCAAGACAACCTGGCAGCGTGAGGCCCAGACAATCATCAAATACTCACGATCTCTTATCGTGACTTTCTTGCTTCACTACTCGGTTACCGTCACCAGTGTCTTTACGGTCGGACGTATTGGGCGCATGGAACTCGGAGCAGTCAGTCTCGCTACCAT